GGTTGTAGCTGCAATCGATGCTCGAAGCATGACTCGGGATTATAAAAGATGCATATCCTCGAGATCGCTTGCGATGCGGGGTTGTCGCGTTGGCGGCTACTGATAAGGTGATTCGTCATTTTCTCACGCGTCGCTATATAGTTATTTAAACAATTTTTAATTCTCTCGATGGCGCACTTAAGCATCGCGTACTTTTACTTTTAAAGATCTGAACGAAAATTTCGGGATTTTAATTTTCCGATAAAATCCCTAACATATTCTTACAAAATTCGTACGCAACTAGAACGTTATTTTAAAAAATCTTAAATCGTCTCGATGACGTACTTAAGGATTGTGTATTCATTTTTCAAGATCTGAGCGAAGATTTCAGGATTTCACAATTTCCTGTCGAAAATCCAACATATTTCTTACAAAATTTACACATGATTCGAAAATCAAATATTTTTCATGCTGCGTCGCTCTTCTCGCGGGAAACGGAGTGCGGTGTCAGTAACCCCACGAAATTTCCCCTCCCAGGTTTGCATATCGAAGGTTGTATATCGAGGAAGTACATTTGAAATTCGCAATATGATATTAGCGTGAGAATATGTGTGACGGAGGAACAGGGCGAGCAGGATTAAGCCTCCGTCGAGAACAGTCCAGGTAATACGACCGATTCATCATGCCGTGTCTTGTTCGTTCTCCTCTTCTGGACTCCAGACGAACACGGGGGACATGCAGTACCACGAGGAGTAAGAGAGAGAGAGAGAGAGAGAGAGAACGGGAAATGGAGGGCGGGGAGATATACATTGCCTGTATTTCGCAGATAAGGACAAACCCTATATCGTAACGCTGACAACCCCGACCCTTTCGGTACGATCAGATTCGCCCTCCTCCACTCACACTCTTCTCTCATGGCTACGTTCCATGGATTTCTCGTCTTTGCCCTCTTGTTGGAATTTCACACGGTCTTGGTGCGCTACGAACGTGAAGTTACACGAGATGTCGCGCGATAAGAAACGATTAGAAACGACGCTGTGATCGATTAATCTTTTGTTATATATTCATCATTTCTGGAAAAGTGGATGGTTAATTGGCTTTCATGACACTTTCCTCCGCGTGACATGCGTCATGGTATATTATCGGCCTCATTTAAATCATTTTGTAACACGTCCTGCCCGAATTTACATTTTTCAAAATGATTATTTCAGAGTATGATTCATCGTTAGATCGAAAGGATCTTCATTTTCCTTTCTTCTTCATAAATAGAAAGTTTATCTGACTCGTTCGGTTTAGTGCTATTAAATAATAAAAAGTTGTCCCTTCGTTATATTGTTTGAAAAAAAAATGAAATTTACAAGATAACTCTATTTTTAATTTTAAGTATTACGAGCAATTTTCTTGCATTTTAATTATATGCTTTCATTTAATGTAATATATAATTTGAACGAAATGCACTTTTAATATTCAGAAGAAAAATTAAAGTTTAGACATTTCCTTTTTTCGATCATATGTTTACATAAACACTACGCATGAAAAATTAAAGTATCTCTTTTCTCGAGCATGGAAAATAGACGAGATTCAACGGACTGTAATTTCCGCAAAAATAACGATAATGAGATAGTCCGAGAATTATTTTGCAGTTGAAACTTTCTAGTTTTCTAGTTTTCAGATATATTTTCGATATATGATATTTACTTATTTTTTATGGAGCTACATACATGAATATAAATTAAAGTTCGTTAAACGTTAAAAATTTTTATGAAGTTTGCCGAGTTACATCGCGTAAACAAAAAATCACACATAGATAACATTATATCATTTCATAGTATGGATCTAATCTTTTAAATTGCGGGCTATTTAATAACAATTTAATTTCTTTTTCACCGAATTATTTAATGTTGGAGTAAAATGCGACCTTCCGGTTATAAATGCTTACAGAAAGAGAATCAATGAGTATATGACATTTGTTAACAAATAAACAGAAAGCTGAAAATCTCTTCTTTAAAATATATTTATTAAATTTTAGATATAAATAATTTTTGTATGTTTTCAACAGAAATATGAGGTTGAAAGGTGGACCATCGTCATTTCTGATTTAATTCGATATATTTTGGCGATAAAACGATAGTAACATTGTGAATATAATATTTTTGAAAAGTAGGAACTTCAAGCTTTAAAATGCTTTTCGAACAATTTCGTTAGTATTATTTTTAGTTACAACTTGTTGAATTTTTGTCTATTTAAGTAATGCACGTGCGGCTGACCATCCATTGAGCCGTGCCACTTGAAAAATAAACGAAGCGTCTGACTTTATTTTGTGTTGTACCACAATCCTATAAAGACGAAAGATTTACGCGTGTACGACAATCCTTCTCCTCAGTAGATATGGTGGCGGCGCGTAGCGGAAATTTTGGAACTAAATGTCGACATCGCAGCCAAGACTCAAATCATTTCGAAACTTGCATAGCTTAGATCCGAACCTTTATCAAACCTGCTTAACCAACACTCGCATTCCGTTTAAATCGAATAGATTTTAGCAAAGACCGCTAGATGGCGCCAGGTAGTCCGTTTCTGTCAAGTTAAAGAGCCGTGTTGTAATATCACTTTAAATCATATATATTAAGATTTCATCCACACACAAATATTTTTACTAAATATTTAAATATGTGTTTATGTGCTTATATCGCGGATATTACTATAAATTGTAAATTTCCTATGGTTATATTTATGAAAGAAAAAGATCAAAAATTCTAAAAGTTTTGTATACTGCCCCTATAATAATTCTTAACATTACAGTAGTTTTTCATAAAAATCCTAAATGTGGTTCAGAAGAAAGTAAAAGCAGCAGTTAAGAATAGTATATTAATCTCAAGGAATACGTTTAAAGACTGTCGTCTTTAGTTGCGAATATCTCTTCCGAATGACTAATTGCTTACTAACTTTATATACGTGTAGATTAATATTTTCATCAATTTGCAGCTGAAATTTAAAAGAATTCCTAGGAAAATCGTTTGACGAATCAATTAATTTAAATGTCTTTAAATCGCCTTTCAGAAGTTTGCACTGTTTCGAGGATAGTTCTAAAAAATTAACACAGGATACCCGGCAATTCTCGGTATAGTGCTTGTGTGTAGGTAGAAAAAGTCAAACTGAACAGTGAATTTATATCCATTTTGCGAACTTCGCAATTGTTAATGAGAAATTTATTAACTAGCTGCTGCTCATTGCTTGCTACGTTGTTCCACCCAAACCTATCTCAGATCGCGGTACACAGGATACAATTAACACATGCAACAGCTGATTCTCATCGGTGCTAAGAGATTCTAAAAAAAAAGCTATTTTTCTCATAAACTGCAAGACGTCTTTCTTTGTATATATCTACAATGTCCGGATTTCATGGCGTCATTCGCTCATGCAGATTAATTAATTTCTTATTAACAATTGCGAAGTTGTGTGTAATACGTTTAGAATAAAGTTTAGGGTATCTTAATATAAGTACGAGTCATCAACATTTTTCTTCACTCATTTATTCGAAATTTAATAAGGAATCGAAATCGATTGTGGCTTAGTGAACGTTGATAAATGCAAGAGTAGAGAGCAAATTGCAATATCCACTCACTAATCACGTCACTAATGACCAGTCAAGATTCCGCATCCTCGATCGACGATTGGGGAGGTTTACAGAAGCGTATTCTTAGGTGCAGCCTTCTTCTCGTTCACGTTGCGAGTGCAGAAATCGATACGTCCCGACTCCTAAGTGGAGACGTTTCGTCATCGATGCGACCGGCCGGTGACTGTCACGTAAAGGTTTCATTGAAATTATTCATGACTCTATTGGCGAGTTTATAGACAGAACTTGCCTTTCCGTCTCCGCTGCATCGACGTCTCACTCACTACCTCGTACCGTATGAAAATATCGCTTTATTATCTAATTTCATGATCAAAGTTGCATGTAGAAGTGTCCCCGCTAATTTGCATAAGTATCGTCCGCCGGACGATCGCCGCAAAGACTTGCCGCGAGGAAATGGAAAATATCGTTGATCAGAGCTATTTTCATTGACGTGAAATAGCAAGTCGCGAGGCTATGGATGTTCTTAGGTTCTTTCGTGAAGTGAAATAGCATCACTCGATGTCTCGGTGTATTGTGCGAGGGAGACGCGATGGACTGAAGTAATCTCGAGAATACGGAGGGGCTCGTTCGAAGATTGAAGAAGTTGTTCGAACTGATACCGAAGCTGGCGACACATGTCACTTAACTGTACAAAGTGGCACGTGTTTTATTTATTCGTTTTCCTTTTTTTTTCGTCTTTTACCGAACCGAACAGCTGGAGATGCGCATTCTGAAATTGACGTTTGCATTAATCATACTCACTGGATGTTTCCGGCCGTTATCCTGGATGTCGCGGTTTAAACGCACCATTTACGGTATCTACAGAACACTCATATTGTTTGCGATGTACACTTTCGTGGCGTCCCAACTCATGGACATGGCAACGAACGTCGACAATCCCGACGACTTCACCGATACTCTGTATATGATGTTGAACGTGTTCGTGTCAGGCAACAAATTGTTTATCATGTGGGTAAATTACGAGGACATCATAGCGATGATCAAAAGTCTTACCGAGGAACCGTTCAAACCGTTGGATTCGGGCGAGACGAAGATTCGTCGAAAGTTCGATACGTTAATTAGGTAATTATTTCAATTTTTCGATCATGATTCATTGGATCCGTCTATGTGTTTGAAATTTGGAGCGACTTTCGAGTAAAAGCGGAGTCATCACTCTGTTGACCGTCCACGTAAGTCACTGATTTTACTACTTTCAAATTTCCCTATATAGTTATCTATCGTGGACGTAACAATATATTTGTCTCGCTGCAACTTATTGCACTAGTTCAGCGGTGCAGCGAAAACGAACAGACCTAATGCATGGAGTAGGGATTTTAGCCCCACTATGAAAGGATTCTTTACCCCACTGCATGTCTTTAGAAAAAGACAGAATGGTACCCATGCAGTAACTATCTCTTTCTACTTTCTGACGTGTCCACATAAACGGAGATGTGAGACCGCACGCTCTAGTTATCATGTGTCTATGGAATATATATTTTTTTAATTATTTCTAACTTTTATAGTAAAGCTTTATAGTAAATTTTATTACTATTTTCACTTCATTCCCAGTGCAGATATAGAGTGCGAATGTAAACTGCATTATTCACGAATTTTCATCATGGTTCTATGTAATAGTGAATGTGTGGAGAAGGTAGCACAGTATCTAGATATTCTTCCGGAAAAATTAGAGTTTTCTGACAAAAATGTGAGTGTTAATTTATTATATTAATTACCGCAAGAGATATGTCATTGTATTAAAAATAAAAAAATAAAATATAAATTTTTAGAAAATATTCTATTTCTTTACATCGATCGTTTCAGGTATTATTTGCTTTAAAAAATGAAAAAAAATCTCCACTTCTCCAAGGTTTTAACACCATTATACAAATGCTAGCAACAAATTCAAAATGTACTGATATATTTGGTAAAGACAAGGAATCACAAGCTCGATCGCAGCAATGGTTAGAATATATCACAGTCTGTGTCAATCATATGGATTTTCCTCTTAATGCCAAGAGAATATTGAATGTAATATCACAATAAGTATTTATGTATATAATATATATAGATAGCAGTTATATAGACAACAAAGTGTCGATATGTTCTTTTATTCTAGGAATTAAATACAGCATTAATAGGTGTCACATATTTAGCTGGCATAGAGAAGACCATTGCAGATATTACGTTATATTATATTCTTCATTCTATAATGGTAATAATCACTATAGATTTATAATTCCCATAACTTGTTCAGATATTCACTAAGGAGAAAACAATTTCCTATTGATCAAAGAATCTATCATTATAATCATGATCAGGATTGAGTAAACTAATTTCTTTAAAGTTTAAAAGCTACACAAATGATTTAGTTAGTTAAGTTAGTTAAGTGACGTACACAAATAATTTAGTTAGTTAAGTTAGTTGAGTTAAAAGTAACCTAAACAAAAATTAATTAAAATTTGAGTTAAAATTAAATTAACTTATTAAAATGGAAATTTATGCAGAACTATATATATACATATATATAGTTTAGAAGAAGAATAGTTAGGTTTATATATTTAGTCTTGTATAATTTATTTTTAACTTCTAACTTAATTTATCCAATCCTGATCATGATATATAGTAGTATCCCATCAATAACATACAATAGCGGTTTATAAATAATGTACACTGTGATTCCTATATACTGTTTTTCTCTTGTTACAGAAAAAATTAAGCCATCAAGATAAGGCGCAATATGTTCATGTGTCAAGGTGGTTCGATAATGTTCAACAAGAAGAAAAATTGAGACGGGAACTGGATTTGATTTCCTTTGATTTAATGCATATATTCCTATAATTAAGTCAGAATACTTTGTGCGTTCGAAACTAGCTATGTTTACTTCTTATTACCAAGGTATATAATAATTAACACACACTTTTCTATTGTAACAAGATTCACTCTTTGATGAATATCTAATATTTAAAGCTCCTGGATACTTGCTGTCCTTTGATGACAGAAGTGAGGAAAATCATGTCAATATATATGACGATATATGTGGAAATAAAAGAATATACGCACAAAATATCCAGTAAGCAAGAAATCATTAACACAATGTTATTATAATGATATTTTATAATATGTAACGTTTTCAAATATGTAGTTCTTAATGTTGCATATAACATCATTGTTAACAATGTTTGATCGAAACATTAAAAATAACGTTTCTACATTATAATCTTAATATTAAAGAACATCATATTATTAACAATTTAATATTATAACAGTTTAAAAATATTTATAAAATATTATGTAAAAATTTTTATAAAATCCACATAAAATCAATGTTTCAAAAGATTGATTTAACATTCGTGATCAATTCCGTGAATTAATGTAACATTCAACTTATGTTTTTAACCTATTAGGTGTATAACTAAGTTCCCACCGCTTTAATCCTTAGAAGCACGACGGGAAGTACACTTCCTATTTTTTTCTTTCAGATTTTTGTCGATAAAATTTTCATTGTTATATTTAGACTGTTTTTTTTTATTTCTCCAGTATATTTTTATATTCACTTACGGATAAGTGAATATAAAAAAATCACTCAAAATATATATTTTATTAACTGCAAAAGTGTTATAAATAACCAAATTAAGAAAAATGCTTGTTTTTTTCAGAGAAAATACATTTTCCAGCGACTTTCCCAAAATTTAGGTATTAAAACTTATTTATAGGATTTTTTGAAGTTGCTGATTACGAATCTGATTACGATCAGAATTAGAAGACTTTCAAAATCTAAGAAGGCACACTCAATATGGAGGACCGAAATTGCAGCGAATCAACCACATCACTTCAAATTTGGTATCCTAGAGTTTTTGGGGTTGCTGATTACGAATTTTGAGTCAAAATAGAAAATTTTCCAAAATCAAAGATGGCGATCCAATATGGCGGACTGAAATCGCAGCAAATCAAGCAATTCTTTTCAAATGTGGTATATAGAGGAGAGGGTTTTCAGGACGCTGATTACGCGAATGTGGGGTCGAAATTGAAAAATTACAAAATTCGAAATGTTGGATACAAAATAGTGGATCAAACATGCAAAAACTCAATGTCTATGGCTTTTAATGCTTCCGAGTACAAATTATGAAATGTGAAATTGCGAAAACGAATCAGAGGGATTGAAATCATATAATCTACAGCATAGACAAATTCTTGCTTGTACTGAATTTCTAAATAAAAAATTCATACATTAATAATGAATAAAAGAACTCTTCTCATGATGTATCGTCTATTATCGTCAAAATCGAGTTGAAAAATAGATCTTTCGAAAATTTTCCAATTTTAATCTTGGATTCGTTATCAGCCCCAAAAACTCCGAGATGTTAAATTTGATTTGATTTTCTAAATTTTCTGTAAATATGATCAGTTATATTGAATCCGCTCCATCTCGAATTTTTGCAAATTTTCCATTTTGACTCAAAATTTGTAATTAACGACTTCAAAAACTCTAGGATACCAAATTTGAAGTGCGCTGCAAGAAGCGCTGCAAGAAACTCTGTAAGAACGCAGTAGCTAATCAACGTGCCGTTTTTCTACGAAAACTAACAGTTTATTGGCTACCGTGTTGCTTCTGGCTGCACGGCAAGCGTTGCCGAGTCCTGTGAACAGAAACCATTAAACCCATATCAGACTATGGACTAAAGATTGAGATCGAATTGAATTTGATCAATCAATGCAGAATTCATTAAATTTCACTAAACCTGAGTTCAGTTAACTTTACACTGATTGGCTACATTCTTGGCTGATGGACTTTAGAATTTAAATTCTCAATGTGACCCCGCTTAAGGCTAGGTCTATAATAAATTTTTAAGCCTTAAGAAATTGACCAATCACAATTGATTATTTTTCTATAATTCGATAACTTCTGTGGGCAGAAGCCATAAGTCTTAAAAAGTTGACCAATTACAATTGATTATTCTTCTATAATTCGATTGTGAACGGTCAATTTCTTAAAGCTTAAAGCATCTATTGTAGACTAAGACTTAGGCCGATATTCATAGTCGGATTTTATATTTAATACCGGCTTAAGTTTATCTTCAGATGCTTTGTGGCCAATGAAACAAGTCGTAGAGCATCAAAAGATAAACTTAAATATAAGATCAGACTATGAATATCGACCTTAGGGTGCTTTCACATACTGCGCAAGCGTAACTTGCGTGCCTATCAAATTGTTTCAACTACCCAATTACCAATTATCACAGCGGATTTAATTGGCTGACGCAAGTTACACTTACGCAAGTTACACCACAGGGGAGGCAACCTTATATTCTGTCCCTAGGTTCTTAGATCCATGCTTTTTTGCGTAGTTTACAATGTAGGAGTATGTTCATAAGAAATTGTTAGAATTGTTAGAAAGAGTTCATAAGAAACAGTAGGAGTATGTTCATAAAAAATTAGAAATTGACTAATCATATTCGAATATAAGGAGAATAATCGACTATAGCCGCTATTTATAGTGGAATCTTACATTTAAGAGCGCCTTAAGTTTATTTTCAGGTGTTTCATAGTCAATAAAATAAGCCGTACCACATCTGAAGATAAACTTAAAACGGTCATACTTAAAATCAGACTATGAATACCGGCCTATGATTGCTTAATTTCTTAGGGTAAAATTACACGGTGCGTAATAGAACTGCGGAATAGAGTATGCGTCATAGAAGCAACCAAGCTACTCAGCTACTCAGCTTTTTTCTATCACACACGTTTTATGTGCGGATTAATTATTTCTATGACACACTCTCTATTCCGCAATTCTCTTATGTATTGTGTAATTTCACCTTTACTCTTACTTTTTTATAAACATACTGCCCATTGTAGTCTACGTCATAAACGTGATCTACAATAGGCAGTAAGAATATGTTTATAAGAAGTAAGGCCGGTATTCATAGCCGGATCTTATATTTAAAAGTCTTAAGTTTATCTTCAGATGCTTTGTAGCCAATGAAATAAGCAATAGAGCATCTGAAGATAAACTTAAAACGGTCTTAAATATAAGATCTAACTAAATACTAGCCTAAAAGTAAGAAATTAATTAATCATAGTCGATTATTCTCCTTACGAATATAATTGGTCAATTTCTCATTCTCATTTCTTATATTAAATATACGCGTATTATCCATTGTAGATTACGCTTTATTTCTAAAAAACATATTCCTACTGCACATTGTAAACTAAGTTTTAACTTTTCACGGTCCTTGCACTTGAGTAACGCGTGCGCAGGCTGACGTACGCGACATTGTGAACTTTGTCTTCGATTCAATCGTTGCGGTCGCGTCGACCGTTTGCCTTCAAGTCAATCGTTTTGGCCTAAATCTTAGCCTAATACACGGAAAAGCGGCCTGCCTTGTTCATATTTCATAGATTGACGTGTAACGACGAACGTAACGAAATGGCGGACGATTCGAGTGTACGTGTCGCCGTACGGTAAGTAGGAAAACGCAAAATCGCAACTTTTGCTGCAGTGTATCGTGGTCCATGTCATCGTTTCAACTGACAGCTATGAGGTTGCGTTCAGCGAACGTAACGGTTGCATAACGGTTGAATAATTCGTCAACGTAATTGGTTTAGATTTAACGATATTACAGTAAAGACTATTGATCAATGACTGCTCACAGATCGCTTTTTCCGCTAAACACAGCTATAGCTGCTAATAGCTTGTAACTGTTGGCGAATGAACGCTACACTACGGAACCGTTTTTGCGTACGATCAAACGTGCCGAAATATTTTTGCCCTAATGTAATTCCTTGAAAAATTTTCTTGTAATCTCCGCTTCTCATGTAATTTCTGACAGTTCCTCAATTACTTCTCTCTGTATAATGAAATATCCGCAACATATGAGCAAAGTAATAGATATCGTTAGAGGAATGAAATACTTTTGTCATGCGTTGTTTATAAATTCGACAATTCGTATGAGCTTTTTGTTTATCACAATGTATGGTTCAAGTACGAAGAACAACTTCGTGCGAAGAAACACGAAATTTTTCGTATTGTATCGCGACGAGAAAAACTCAATTCGCACGGAACGCTACCAGTTCTCCACAACATACGACCGATCGCAAATACCGATCCTCGGATATCTCCTTTTATGATATAAGTGCGTGGGCTTAATTATCATCCGCCTAAGAAACCTACATCATCAGCTTCTGACTTCGAGATGCACAATTATCAATTATAAGAGATGATCAATTATATAATCCAGATAGAGCAATCTAAATAAGAATAGATATGAAAATCATTGATTTTTTAATTTATTTCATCTTATATCTTTATATTTTGTATATTAAAATATAAAATATTAATTTTGTGATCTTTAATACATTTATACACAGAATGACTAAAAAAATATCAGTTTCATCTTGAAATAATATTAAATGAAAATCAGTTTTACGTCAAAATAATCAACACCGGGATGTTTTTTATCTACAAATTTAATCGTTTCTATCATATATGTTCCATCATTTATTTGGTTTTTTGTTTACCATATTTTACCTTTATGATTTACTATAAGAATTTATTGTTTCTTTTTTCAGAATAAGACCTCAAGTAGCTCGCGAAGTGATTGATATGTGCAGGATTTGTACTCAAGTACCTCAAGGAGAACCACAGGTTTTCCTTGGACCTGATAAGGCTTTTACATATGATTATGTTTTTGACACACAGTCAGATCAGAATTCTATTTATGAAATATGTGTGAACCGTCTGGTGGAAGGTGCTTTGGATGGTTACAACGCAACAGTTCTTGCTTATGGACAGACCGGCTCGGGCAAAACTTACACTATGGGCACTGGTTTTGATGTAGAAGTTGATGAAAATATAGTTGGGATCATACCTAGAGCTATTAGGCATCTTTTCAATGGAATAGCGGATAAACAGGAACATGCAAGGGAACGTGCACAGATGCCTCCTGAGTTTAAGGTTTGTATTTTGTATACTGAATATTATTTAGGGTATATTGAATATTATATATATTATTATAGTATATAGGGCTTTTAAAAAACTCAGATACACTTTTAGTGGCAGATTTTTTTTATTAAGTTGAGAGGTCATAATCTATTGCAACCACTGAGTTTTATAATATACTGGAATGAGCCTTTTCTATACTTACCATAGGAATCTTTATCCTGCTGGAGAAAAGGATAGATGAATAGACTGGATGAATGCTTGTTTCTTTTGTACATACTATTATAATAAAGAAAAGGATACATTCAAGATATATGTTTCCTTTTCTATAAATGGGACACCCCTACTCTTTAATGGCTTATTCTAGTATATTATATAGCTCAACTCTACAACTTTTAGCATTGCGTATATCTCCTTAAGTAAAATCAAAATTATATTTAAGGTTCCAGAGTAGTTGCTGTGACTATTCATGTTTAATTAATTTTTACTGTTTATTTTTACTATTTATTGATTGTTTGAGTAAAAGGAAAATATTCGTTCAATTTCACAAGTATGCTGAATTGATCACAAATGTCATTTTGTGGATATATCTTTTTGTTTGGAAGTATAACGCAAAAAATCTTGGCACGCGTTTTCTTGCTTTTAATGTCATTAAATAAGAACAGTCGACTACTTCGGAGTCTTAATCTTAACTTAGAATTATATTACAGTAAACCTCGACTTTATCTAGTTAAGTAATTCGAGTTAATGGTTTCATTCTTAAGTTGACTTCAACTTGGTTAAGGAATTTGTTAACTTATTTTGCAAATTTTGCAATTAATTTGTCATAGTTAATTTAACAATAATGCACTTCGCTTTGCCGTAGGTCACAGCGCAATTTTTAGAGTTATATAATGAAGATTTAAAGGATTTGTTAGAACCAGGAGGGCCGAGAGGAGGTGCCCGTATTCACGAAGATACTACGGGTAATATACATTTGGCCGGAGTAGAGCCGCGCGTCGTAACTAGCGCTGAACAAGCATTGGAGTATCTTCGATTGGGTGCGTTATCACGCACAACAGGATCCACGCAGATGAATACACAGTCGTCGAGATCGCACGCCATATTTACATTATACATTAAACAACAAAGATGCATCAAAGTCGAGGACCCGGACGCAGATGTTGATACGAGCGGCTGCGAATTGGCGAACGAATTTGAAATGTTAACCGCAAAGTTTCATTTTGTCGATCTGGCCGGTTCTGAAAGATTAAAAAGAACGGGTGCTACCGGAGATAGAGCGAAGGAAGGCATTTCTATAAATTGTGGACTGGTAAGGCAACATTTTTCGGACGAAGGAAAAGCGAAAAGTATCAATTATCTGATGACTTTTTTTCATAGTTGGCGTTAGGTAACGTCATTTCCGCTCTGGGTGACAAAACTAAGAAGGCTTTACATATACCATACAGAGATTCGAAATTAACCAGATTACTTCAAGATTCTCTTGGAGGTAAAGTTTTTCAGTTGCAATAGGAATTTTAAAATACATACGTAGAGCGTTAACCCATTCGAGACGGCGAATTTTTTCGAACATGGTCCCCAGGAGCGACATTTTTTTTCTTTATATTGTTTATTTTTAATAAAAAAAACTTGTTTATTATAGAAATCACCCAATTCGTAAGTCAATTCGCATAAATAAGATGATTGCACACCGTGTGTGCAGCTCGCTCCTCAGAAAATTTTTATTGCGGGGAGCAGATCGAACACCATGTGTGCAATGTAAAGTAAAATAAAAATACATCATTAAGATTGATAAACATTTATGTAAAAAATAGTTAGACAACATAAAATCGTTATTTTGCTTTCAATAATGAAGAACAGAATATAATGCAAAGAAAATTTTTAAGAAATAGTAAAAAGCCAAAAAAATAAAATTGAGTAATGAAGAAAATAATATAAACGAGGAATAAATTTTTAGACAAATGTCTAAAGGTAATAAAGTAATGTAACTCAGTAATGAAAAAGAAAATATAATTTGTAAACACATTTTTAGAAAATAGTACACTGATTATAAAGTAATTATACATTGGTTGGTTTATGATAGCGCTTGAAACAGTCTCCCAAAAATAATCCAGGATTACCGACACAAACTGGAAAAGAGTAATTACTACGCCTATATTTACCTTCTTTGTAGCATTGTCGGCAAATTTTTCTTTGTACTTTCCTATTTTTATTTCTTGGTAAAATTTCAGGTAAGTGATCATTTGTTTCTGATGTTGCCGACCTTCTGTCTCGGGGTTTTCCAATTAAGTTTTTTAAAACCAATGCCAAATTTTGTTTTTCTATACTTCACAGATATTTTTAATTCAAAACAAATCTTATCTCGACGACCGCTTCACTCAGAATGAGTGATAATTGCTCTTCATTATCATTGCACACACGGTATGCAACCAGTTTTATAGCCACGTAAATCCATTGCACACACGGTGTGTGCAATCGGTCTCGAATGGGTTAAATAAGCCGTAAATTTTATGTTACGGAGAATTGTTTGTTGTTAGGAAACAGTCAAACTGTCATGATTGCGTGCGTATCACCGAGCGACAGAGATTTTATGGAGACACTGAGCACCTTAAAATATGCGAATCGAGCGAGAAACATTAAGAACAAAGTTACTATTAATCAGGATAAGAGCTCGAGGACGATCGCTTCGCTTCGTCGTGAAATACAGCAGCTTCAATTAGAATTAATGGAATATAGACAAGGTACATTTAGTCAGGATACATTGTATATTTTGATCCCACATGTATAAACATTTTCTTATGTTTCATATGTTTCTTATATCTCATTATCTTATTTTATTTTTTTATTTTTTTATTTTTTTTCTCTTTTCAGGCAAGAGAGTAGTCGGCGAAGATGGAGTTAATGACGCCTGGCACGAAAATCAAATGTTAAGCAGCGAATTGCAAAGTCTGCGGACGAGAGTAAAAGCACTTTCAGAAACGGTAGAAGCATTAACTGCGAAAAATGTTCTTTTGCTCGCGGAGAAAGCAGCAGGTCAATGGATGGCAGCATCAAGTGGAGGTGACGAGCAGGTGACTAGTTTGGTGCAAGGCTATGTTCAGGAGATAGAAGAGCTAAGAGCTCGTCTATTAGAGGCGGAAGCTATGTATCAGCAATTGAAGAAGAGACAAATGCAGGTAACATGCCGAATTTTAACAACAAAAAGTATCACAAACGTAGTGACTTTGAGATTACGATAAAATGTCACTCAGGTTAACGCGGCTAATCCGTACGGAGACAGTTCGTTTCATTCCGATTCCTCAACTTTATTGAGCGACGCTAAGAAGGATCTCGAGAAGGAGATTGAAACATGGAAAGCTTTGAAGGACCAGCATAGCCATGGTAATTCTAGTGTGAAGGCTGTGGAAGAAGGAGAAATCGACGATGCGGAAAATGCGCAGGATTCTGTGAGCGAAGATGATTCCGACGATGATTCCGATCGTAAAGGTACATTCAGATGTTGTATTACAGTTGTATATACGGTAAAACCAAATATTTGCACACCTCATTTTTCTTGACATAAATTTATATGAAATAAAATTTTGCAAAACATTTCTATCAGGATATGACCTTCTCATTTCTATTGAAATATTGTACAATGATATATTGTAGCGATTTCTTTCTTTCAGCTTCCAAGACGTATTCAACCACTTGTTCACGCATGCGTTTTTTAAAACTGTATCTTTGTTACATCGTACGTTATTTTACAGAAGAAGACGAAGAAGAAGCAGCCATGGGTCGCGAATTGGAAGCGTTAACGTCCGACATTGACGTCAAGCAACGTTTGATACAAGAACTCGAGCTTTCCCAAAGACGCTTGCAAACCATGAAGCAACATTACGAAGATAAGCTGGCGCAATTGCAAGCTCGCATCAGAGACACGCAGGAGGAAAGAGACAAGGTGTTGATGTCTTTACAACAACAACCCGCACCGCCCACCGAGAAGGTGAAGAAATTACGCGACGAATACGAGAAAAAGCTCTCCAATATGCAGAAAGAGATGCGACTTTTGCAGTCCGCTAAGAAAGAGCACGCGAGATTGTTAAAGAATCAGTCACAAAGCGAGAATAGATTGCGGGGCCTGAGAAATGAGCTGTCGGAGATGAAGAGAGCGAAGGTGAAACTGTTAAATAAAATGCGAGAAGAGGCGCAACGGCACAAGGAGAACGAGCTGAGGCGCAACCGAGAAATCGCGCAGTTACGTAAGGAAAGTCGTAAGAATGCGAATGTAATTAGAACTTTAGAAGCCGACAAGAGAATGAAGGAAGTTGTGCTCAGACGAAAGCAAGAGGAGGTAACGGCATTACGAAGAAGAGACAGGGGCTTGAGTCAAAAAACCGCCGGTCGCATACCGGCTAAACCAATTAATCCCAAAGCATTAAAGCAAAGATGGCAAACGTTCGAGAGAACAATCGCTAAGCAAGCGTTAGCAAAGCAGGCCGCCGCGGAAACAGAGAGAGAAATGGAAAGATTGCTTCAAGAGAGGGAAGAGTTGGGAAGAGATCTGGAGAAGCTTCAGAAGCATAGGAACGTCATCGCAAATTCGAGAGGTGACACCACAGACGTCGACGAAGAAATCGATAATGTGAAGAGTAAAATCAGCTATTTACAGGTAATAATTAGTAACAATGTGATATTTTAGTGATGTGAAGAAATGCTTAATTTAGCTTCCGGATTGGTCTCGCGTTTCACGTGGATTTGTTGCCAACATTTCGTGAACATTCCAGTTCATTTTTTCCGGAAGGAGGAACGATCTGAAACTGAAACTATAGTCTAGTTAGTTACAATTTTGTGTATATAAAGGCCATTTTATAATGATCGTAAATATGGCTATAAGTACATTCTACAATGGCTACAAATTTATAAAACGTAGTCGTAAAAACTTTTGTATAATGTCAATAATGTGTAAGAGTATGGTTGTAAATCTGTAAAACGCGGTATAATAAATTTCGACATAGTAAGTTGTAACATAAAATTGTAAACGAAATGAAAATAATTCATATTTGCTTACGATTTCAACCTTACAACCTACCTGTTACAACCTACTATATCGGAATGGGTCCTTAATATAATATATCGCGTTTTGCGGATTTATTCTTATGGACATTGTAGAATGATCTTTTCAGATGTAATAGGTCGCAACGTAAAATCGTGAGTAAGATGAATTACGTTCATTTCTTACACCTTAAGGCTTTACGTCGACAAATCAGAATAAAATAGCACATTAAAGTTTTAACCTCCTCCTTCCTCGTCTTACATTTTATTGTAAATTATTGTAGACAATATCGTTTTAAGAATATCAAATTCTACAATCAATTTCTACAATCTTCCGCTAAACGCTATGAACTTGTAGTCATATTATTATGACTATTGTAGAATTGTGTTAAGTTCTAAAAGCTATGAAATTCTATTTTATAACATCCATAAAAGTATTTCAGTCTAAGACGCGGTAGTAAGGGCCCATTTCAGTTTAGTAGGCCGTAATGTGAGATCGTAAACAAATATGAATTACTTTTATCTCACTTATGATCTTTACAACTGCATCTTACAGATTTATAGTCATATTCTTACAGATATTATAGAATAGCTTTAATGGTTCAACGATTATTCTCAGTCTCATTATTGATGCGTAACAAATATATCAAAAAATGTTATACATAGGACAGTATCTCAGAATGTCAACGGGATATGGTTGAGATGGGCGACGGTGAAGCAGAAGGCGAGCCTGGTGTTGAAATGCTCATCTCCACTATTCGAACGATGGACGAGGCCCAGTACTTACTGCAACGAATGCTGGCGTTTACTGTAGAGCAAAGTTGCGTGGCCGCACAAAAGCAACTCGAAGTACGTGATATGGAATCACGGCTCAATCAAGTTGCGCAAGAGAGTGACGTACAGCATCAATTACTGGAGCATGTATTACGTGACAGAGACCTTTTATCGCTCACAAACAATCATAATAATGCATTAGCTTACAGTCCGGCCAGTTCAAGAAGCTCCTCACCTGATAAGTAAGTCGAGCAACTGTATTATATATTTCTAGTATTAAGTGTTTTATTCTCCTTTTTAAAGTATGCCATTATATTTCGAAATATAATTTAAGATGTTAGTTCTAACATTTTCGTGTGTATAAATTACGTTTCTTCTACATTTCTATGTAAAAACCATTTATTCTGTATAAAGACCAATTTCTAATTTGTATGATTTTACGTAACAGCGAAAGTTATAGCCAAATTGTACTTGGCGAAGAAAAACAGCGTAACAGTAAAGTCAGAAGAAGAACGGCACAGCCACAAGAACTTCTTTACGGTATACACGCTAGTCCGGAGAATGTAAAAGCAGACGATCAGAATCAAAATCATAACCACCCTCTTACAAGGGTTCCTAGTGCACCAGGTAGCCTAAAGTAAGCACATACAGCATTTAAATCTGTTACTCTTATTCTAACCAAATATAATAACTGTGCTTTAGAAGAAATAGCTGAATATCCATTTCTCCGATATTTATTAATCCATGAATATTCTGAAAACTTGTAAACACCTTGAAATGTGTGTTAACTATATTGATTAACTAATATTTCAATATAAAATCTGTGCATTCACAGAGGACTGGTATTAACGAGGAATCAGTATGGTAGCACTGTGACTGGTGGATCGCCAACATTGACTCGTCGCGACAGCACATCGCCCAGAGCTCTGCGACGACCGATTCATCTAGGCGGAGGCTCCATGTGAGTGATTATCCTGCAGCACATCCTTGTTCTTGTATTCTTTGCATACATCTGTCTTGATTTCCTAATCCATGCACTGTTGACTACTTTATTTCCCTGAGATGAATTTAATTTTGTTGATTTTGTCGAAGAAACGGGAATCAAGTGCAAGTATTTCGTGCCTATGAATATAATATTTAATATCATCTAGTGTGTGGTACACAACACACAGACACATACAAACAGAGCAAATGGAAGCACAAAATGATGTTAATTGAAGTAAATTTCATGAAAGGATCTTTCATGAACAAGTTCGATGTAGCAATTATTGTTATAACATACGCGCACAAACGCACGCGCGCACACACAAACACACACGTATATACATAAATATGTTATATTACAAGGAATATTTATTATGTTACTTTTGTGTACAAAATATCTCTAAGTTTTATATGTTTATATACCAAATAAGACGTTCTTCGCAATAAATCTCTAAGTATTACATATTGTAAAATAGATAAAATTTTTATACGTGAATATGTAAAGCGTGTTCCACAACAGCCGTGTCTTACTTTCGTATGTACGTTATTTTCAAATAGCATCTTTGAATAAACAAAAAAACCTGAGTTTACATGTGTTTAAAGATAAGTACTTTATGCAATATAATAATACACATGCATATTATGGCGAAAAAGTGTCCAATAAATACGTAATATTTATTGTTTGATCCAATGTAAATATATTGTTAACATTTGCAATAAGGAGAAACGTTAATTTATACGAGACATTTTTCTGATGAATCTCGTTGATATGTATAGATCTAAGAAATTGTTTTTTCTGTAACATAGGTTAAAGAAATAAACAACAAAATTTGAAAATTAAGAGGCGAGGATATAAATAGCTAATGGAAGAAGAATCTCCTTAACGTGACACGTAGCGTTTCTTACTTGTAGATTTCTCGAAATACGAAATTTGCATTTGATAACGGCTGGAATTGATTACGTTTAATTGTGCACTCCACTCTCCGCTTTCCGTATGCGCGTAATCTTGCGCGAACAAAACCGGGTTAATATAACGTCCCGATCTTTTCCCCGCATATGCATGATTAATATGATTTCCAAGTCGGCATGATAGTTCGGATTAGCGAAACGCTAAACGCCGACTAACTAACACGCTAACATGTAACAAACACACCTACCAGGGAGCAAGTAGCGCACACGGATATATCTTCGCCCCCTGGATCACCAACTACCTACAGGCGGTTCAATAGCCGCGAAGAAAACGTTTTTTCGAGACTAACCGCGAGTAGGCAACCAATCGCGTCTGAACCGCAGCCAATGAAGGGAATTATCTCACAGTATCAGGGCAAGGTAAGCGCGATAACATAGAGAGTATGAATCTTGAACTTGTTTTCGAGCAAGTTAAGCGTAAAAATGTGATTTTTCTCACCAGACGCAGCCACGGGCCATTTTACAATGCTCCCATGTAGCCGAAGGACACAGCAAAGCCGTCCTTACTGTGTGTGTGACGTCGGATTTACTTTTCAGCGGTTCCAAAGGTAACAGGACGAAGTGAGCGATGAAAAACGTTGTATACAGAACAATTGGAGTCAATTTGCATTGGGTATATTCAGTATTGACACTAAAACTACTTACGATTAATGTGTACTTTTTTATCGGAATAATTTAAATAAGATTTTTGAAAAAGTACATAATGCAAAGGGAAAAATATCTATTCGTTTACATATTGCGACAAAAATTACGGTTAATCTAATAATCAAATAATGCACTATTAAAAATTGGAATAACTTTTATAAGAAAAAATTACAAACCGATCATTTAACTGGGTAGGTTTAGTGTTACAGCCGCTCACTGAACAGGCTTGAACTGAGTGGCTTTCATGTATTTTATGTATTGCTCACTGTCTTCAGTATCATATGACATTCAACACACAAAAATTTATCAAGAAAATAAAATAATGTTATATATTTTTATTTATATATCATTATTCATGGAAAGAATAATTTATATATAAGAATTGTTTAATATTAAATTTTTTTTTTTCTATATTTTTACGTAGGGATATGGCATTAAATAATATCAATCCAAATAACACAAACTTCAACAAAAACCTTTTAAAGCTGTCTGAAAGACAAAAAATAGGGCGTCTTTTGGATGTATCTAAAACTTCTTTTAGGAGTTTGTGCTGTTTAGGTAGGTAAGTGAGCATAAAGTAAGCGACATACACACCATACTTTATCCCAAGGATATCCTAAATTGTCCTAGATTTTCAAATGCGATCCCACAGATATCTTAGTATCTAGAATATTCTAATAGGAAATCTCACAATATCTTGCCATATCTTTTTGTTTTATATAGTATATCGTGTCATCAGTAAGGATATAATTTTAACACTTCGACCCAGCAAGAAATATACATCGAATTTATATCAAATTGACGTTAAATCAACATCGAAACGATAGAAATTATATCGAATTGACGTCGATTCGATGAGTCATTTCTCGTTAGGGAATACTAATATTACTATTTGAATACTAGACATATTAATACAAATGACGTCCAGTAACTAAAAAATGACCGACATATGACATGTGTTTGCTGCCTGGACACATAATAATATATTTTATGATATTTCTTGAGCTTCTCTGGACATCCTTTGAATATCGTTTAAAATATCCGAATAGGATATCACATAAGCGGACATTCGTCTATCTGCTGGATATCCAACAAATATGTAAGACTATCTTAGGATATCCAATGATTATTGCAAAATGATGTCCGTAGAACGTTCCTCAAATAAAGTGTGTTGTATATTGTAAAATTACGTTCATAGAAAAGACGACTGCTCAAAGTGAGCAGTTTAGCCGGCTTGTGTCAAGTACATAAATCTAGAGTACTCGCTGAGCGATTGCAGCATTGAACGCATATATTGTGAATTTTCAGATCGCACGGTGAAAGTATGGGACTTGGAAACGGGGATCGAAAGCCTAACTTTAAGCGGACATCCCAACAACGTCGTCGCTGTGAGATACTCCGCTGTTAATCAGCTCCTGTTTAGCGTGTCTGCGGCATACGTTAAAGTCTGGGATTTGAGGGCCGGCAACAACTGTATAAAAACGCTGTTCTCCTCCGGTCAAGCTCAGAGCGGCCCCATCGCATTGTCGACTCCGTCCAGGACGCTTCAGCTGCCCATGGGCGAGACGACGATCAACGATCTGGCACTCAGCTTAGATGAGCAGGAATTGTACACAGCATCCAGCGATAAAGTACGAATATGGGATCTGCGTAAGCTGACATACATCGGTAGGCTAAGCACACCGCACACAGCGGCGGTCATGTGCCTAACCGTCGCTGAAGACGGCAGAGTTATAGCTGGCAGCAAGGATCACCTGATATCGCTCGCCGAAGCTAATGTGTCGGGGCCATCTGTTAGCTTGGCGCCGCCACACTATGACGGAGTGGAGTGTCTTACTACGATAGGTTCTACGCTATTTTCCGGTACGTTCACATGCATGTTGTTAAGGATTTGAACTTATGTGAAACATTTTACTCGTTATTGCAAGTATAGGAATTAATTGATGCGAAATTCTTTTGTAGGCTATTTATACTACACAAGATATCCCGCGAAGAAACTGACAACATTTTAGAATACGTTTTACAAATAATTCTAAATAAAAAATTCAGATACATCATGGATCAATTTGGCTTAATAATCGAGATAGATAATTTAGTTAATATTGTGACATGCGAAAAATACCAGGGATTTATAGCTTTTATCAGATGAATATTATTATCCTAATCACATTTTTTCAAAATATCCATCTTCTGTTTGCAAACATACTGCTATTTGTTGCATCATAAATTGTTATTAATTAATTTTCCCAAGTTCAATTCGAATACCATGTGTAGCCTTTATTATTTTATCAACTAATTGCTAACGATAATTGCTCTTTTGCTCTCTTATCGTCATTGTATACACAGGACTTCATACAACTTCACAAAAAGAAGCTTTTTAGTGAAGTGAGTTCACTTTACTTGTCACCGTTGTCATTCAAAAATTTGCATTACTGGCCAGAATTAAGTTTTTATATCTCGATAACTAAGCTGAATTGATGTATAAAATATCTGAACTTTTTGCTTGAATGAATGAACTCTAGAACATATTCCAGAAATTGGTTGGTTTCCTCGCGGAACACCTTGCATATTAACGATAAAAATGTAGTGGCGATCAAAAATTTCGAGCCAAATTTTTTTTTTGTGATATTCAAAAAATAGTAGCTATTTTACAGTTTAGCGATATAAATTATGGCGCTTCGAGTGTAAGTGTAATGATTGACTCTGTAGCAAAAATTACTTTACTTCTAGGCCTATTAATATTGAATTTAATTGAAGGTTATTTCAAGCGGAATGGTTCAATATATTAATTTTTTTTAAGTAGTACAAATTAGTACAAATTTAGTCTTGCATCTCTATCTTTGTTTTCTTTTGTTCTTTTCTTTATGTCTTACTAGCTTAATATTAAATTAGCAACAGCTTTTTTTCAAAATGGCATGGGGTACAATATTTTTATTGGTAGTGTAAATTAGTACAAAATGCAAAAATATTATAATATTAAATATTATAATATCTCTTAATTAAAAAAAACAAATACGCTATCTTTATTCATTCTTGAATTATACATACAATACTACAATATATTAGGTTGGGGAAAAAGAAATCCATTATTTTTACGTGAACTTCAAGATTTTATTTAACATGATTTTATTTAAATCCCAATTTGTTTGTCCTTTGAATTGATTTGGCTTACGTCAGGTGCTATTTCTGCCAAATCTGCTTCTGCCAGCAAGTTTTGAATGTTTATCAAATTCTCAATTCTCCAACCGTTTTATAACAGTGATCACCAAAAATTCCGGAACAATCAAATATCTCGAAAAGTACTAATTTTCGAAAGAAATATTTCAGGTATAAGTTGTATGATTATAATAATAGACGCATTCTTATTGACCGTATCCACCTAACCTTGGAGGACGTTGCCAAAGTCAGATCAAGATTAATTTTTAAATGGAATGAAAATTAGTTGTTTTCGAGATAATCAACCGTCCCGAAAGTTTTGGGGCTTACTGTATAATACGCCATGTGAAGATTGCTGCAACTTTTTTATTAGAATGAAACCGTATTATCGAGGTACCATGTTGTATGAGAAATATTTGTACATTGTGTATGCAATACGTGTCGAATCGTTTGTTCATCTCTGGCTTGCTTTTTCAGGTTCCAGAGACATGTGCATCAAGCGATGGGATGTGAACAAAATGGAATTAGTTCAATCTTTAAACAACGCGCACAAGGACTGGATTTTAGGATTGTGCACAGTAAATAACGGTTCTGTGATGGTCTCAGGATGTCGTGGCGGTGTACTGAAAGCATGGTGCGTTCCCAAAGATCATTCGGGGGAATGCACGCCTATCGGAGAGGTCCGAGCGCATGCCTCCGCTATCAACGCCGTCGCAACCAACCAACAGCACATATTCACAGCGAGCAAGTGAGTAATAAAACCCGAATAATTTCGACGATTTATCATGCAGCGCTATATCCAAAATGACGGATACTCGACGATGCATAGCGACGGTTTTTCATGAACGAGAGCCATTAAGCGCGAATTATTTAATGTAAATAATTGAAAAAAACCAATTAAAACCGACGCTGGTAATTGAGAGATTAAAAAAGTTATTTGATTCGCAAGGTCAATAAATCTTATATCTAAACGTCTCGGTCTTAGATTCTAACCTTCTTCAATGAAAACTATTAACTGCCTGTAGATGAAATCGGAATAGTTAGTAGTTGTCACTACATTGAGAGAAACTCATTTAGTTGAATTAACTAAATTCTTGTTTGACTATGGACAAACAAATTTTTTAATTATAAGAACGAAGGTTTAGTTCTCTGAACCAAAGGTTTGGTTCATTGCAACCTCTGAAACTTCAGAGAACCAAACATTCGGTTTAGACAACCAAACTTTGGTTATTATAACCAAAAAATTTGTTTACTCATAGTCAAACAAGAAATTAGTTGATTTAACTAAATGGGTACTAAATGGGTACAAAAGGGTTGGAACTTACGATCGAAATGTTTGAACATTAGATTCATGAACTCTGCAACTTGAATAATTTTTTTATATTGTGGCTAATTATCAATGTCGGCTCTTATTGACGTCTTCCAATTACTCAAGGATTGTACATACCGATGTGAAACTAGCAAACGACTCCAACGAAAAAATTCTCGATAACAATTTGTTTATATTTCGTTTGTATTTGTTTGTATCATCTTTTGTTTCGTTTATAATTATAAAATAATTTATAAAATATTAGGTTGGGGAAAAAGAAATCCATTATTTTTTCGATAGATGGCTGTAGTGATCGATATTTCATAAAGTATCGATCAAACAATTTCAGATTTATGCTTGTTGGAAAGGTGACATTTCGCACTAAAAAAATTCTTTTTTTGTTTGGTCCATTCAGTTGTGAGTTACAGGATGTTAAAAATGGAAGTCACTAAAGAGAAAATACGGTACATTTTACAATTTTTTTTTGATAAAGGCGAAAATGCAAGCCAGGCGGCTGTAATTGTGAATGGTGTTTATGGTGCCGATACTGTAACAGCCAATTACGTGCAATTTTGGTTTCGTCGATTCCGTTCAGGTATTTTTGATGTTAAAGATGCACAGGTATCTTATCGATGTATCGCTGATAAACCGGACTGGATCCGGAATTGCCAGGCCACTCGCGGTTATTACTTATATTCGCAATAAGCTGCGATTTACTTACGAGGAACTGTACTGTTACAAAACTACCTCTATGGATAAAAATTCAAAGTTCCCTTGACCGTGAGTGGAGCTCAGTCATCGCCGTGAAATAAGCGCGTTAGATTTTTTAAATGTTTTATTTTCAAGTGTTTTGTTGATATCCAATGGAAAAAATGATAAAATGATATTATATTACAAGTAGTTAAATAATTGGAACAAAATTGTCACTAACTGAATCACTATTAAAAATGACCTCTTTCATGCAAATTTTGACCACTTTCCCACAGGTTTATACGAATAAAAGTGATAAAAGATAAAACTTATATTTATAATACTATCGTCATATTCAGCAATTCAAAAACGTAAGATAACATGTTATAACTTACATGACACTTTTTAGACAAAAATCGGCTCATTTTATCCATTGTCCTTTTTTTATCGCGATAACTGACTTATAGTGTGTCTAAAATTTATTTATTTGGAACAACTTCTAGAACACAATCTAGAAGTTTGTTAGTTTTCCATGCGGAATACTCCATATATTCCTTATTATTAAAGGCCGAAGCACAAACTTTTGCCTAACGCATAAAGTATAAGAGGATCAACCAATTACAATCCTTGATTTCCACCTCTAGAATAGAAATGAGGAATTCTTATTAGTTAATTCTCTTACGCATTATGTATAAGTCTGTTTTCCAGCTCTTTAGGCCTATTCAGACAAACTTATATATTCGCATAATGCAGAAGGACCAATCACGTATCTGATATAAAAGCATCCTTTTTCTGCACAAATCATGATTGGGTTCCTTATACAATACATGATTATGCAAATTTGTCTGGATAGAGCTTTTAGAGTGGATACCTTTAAAGTGAATCGTGCTATGAATATATTCATATTATGAATATTCGGGTTCAATAGCCCGATCTATGCTATTCTAATTCAAATGTAACAGTCTCGGATGTTGATTTCAGCTCTGGAGAGGTGAAGCTGTGGCGTATACCCGATCCCTCATTATCTATGTCCATCTCCACAGTTTCCCTTTAACTTTATTTGCTTTTTGCTTGTGCGTCTCACTGTTATGCGTCTACCTTTTTTGGTGATGCGCGCATGTTTGCGTCTAGTTTAAACTCTGTCTTTTTACATATAACATAGTAAGCAAGGCTGCATTATCTATGTCTATAACTTACATCAGATGTTACTATATATTTGGTCATTTTTTTCACAATATTATATTTCCTAATGCTTAGAGTGCCGAATGAAAGTGAGCGCGAGTGAACTTCGTAACTATGTGTTTGCATTTTGTTTGCAAGAGTTTGTATGACTTTTAATTGCCATCACAAGATTTTTAACCGTTTTGAAAAGTGAAAACATTGCGTTGCGAAAGGATTGAATTTAGATATACTAAGTCGCTAAGTATGCCTAATTTTGTGTACACATATTTTGCGATTATTAATATAAAACTATTTTTTTCTTTCTAGTCAACAAATCAAAATTACATAAGAAAGTAATATCACTTACATGACTATATGTCTCTATTAGCTCAATGTATATATAAACGTATAATTTACATACGTTATTTTATTTGCTTCTATGTTGTTTACTCCAATTTGGTGCTTTGCATGGTCATCGTATCGATACGAAGTGACGGAACTGTAAGATTGTGGAACTACTATAAACGAGAAGCAAGGACCTTCCAGAGGAGCAACTCGCTGAAAAGCTAATATCTACGCGTCGTATACTACGTGATGAATTATGTATTCAACTTGCAATTATATGCGGTTTTAATTTAATTTAAATGATAATGCACCTGAACTATCTGTTATTAGTTTGTATCCTACATTGATATTTTAAGTATTATCGAGGGATATATACTTGCTGAAGAGAGAGAGCGATTTTATATCTGTTGACTCTATGTCGTGAATTTAATAAGATATGAGATTATACGATAGCGATAAAAAAAACGTGCCGAGCAAATATGTCTGTTGTTTAACAAGATGCAACTGAATTAAAATGTTATGAACGTTTGATCAGAATAGGAATTATGTGCATTATCATATAAGACACCTAAGTGCAGAATTTGGATGAGATGTTATCCAAAAGAAGGGAATGCTATGTTATCTAATATTTATTTTATTATGAACATAAAGATAATAATTATAATATTTATTTTTAGTACAAACAATAATTATGTAAGGGGATTGATTAATACTGTACAGTCTGAGGTCTCTGTAGGTTCCAAATACTGGATATTGTCAGGGTTGGCTGTTATTCAATTTTCTTCTGAAAATTCGAACAGTATTACGCGCCTTAATTATGTTCATAACTGCTACGACAAATAAATCAGTTGTATACGAAAAAATGTACATCACGATTACAGGTGAACTTGAATATGAATTTTCGTACGTACATACCTCTTCTTCTTTTTATGCGTGGTAAGTGACTCTTGACCACTATCATCCTCGCTGTCTTCGGATTGACTGCTACTGCTACTACTCGAAGAACTGCTCGAAGAGCCGCTCGAAGAATCACTGGCAACACCAGTGTCTTCTTTTACATCTATAGTATCCGTTAATGCCGCCAACGTAGGCTCTTTATCCCTGAGTACTTTCAACCATTTTCGTGATAATTTCGGTCTTCCTCGTACCTGTTAACGTAACGAGATCAATATGTTACAATTCATTAATTGCTTATTCTCGCTATTAAGGTTCCGGAGTAGTCAGCGTTGAAGCGAGCCAAGAACTCCGCGTTGATAGTCTCGACACAGTTCAGAACGACAAAAGAATGAATTAATAAAGTGCGTCCAGCAAGCGTTACAAATGCTTCAAAACGTTTCTCTTTCTTCATCTATCTTTCGGGCCCGAAAGAAAAGAAATGCTTTGAAGCATTTATAGCGCTTACTGGACTACACTTGTATGCGTAAAAAAGTGACATGTTGGCAATAAAATTTTCTGTCGCGTGCTATTTCATTATTTGTTTAATTATGCAGCTGTGACTTGACATATTTGTTAAATTCGTAAAAATGAACGAAAACCAAGATTAGCTTGGAATTTTATACATAGGAGCATATTTTCTATTCCTTTCAAAGCTGTAAAACCGTGTGTTTTCCTGATGACATGAATAGGGCTTTATTTCACGTACCTTTTACGGTTATTGACTGTCAGAAGGAAAAGGGAGTTTTCGTCCATTTTCACAAGTGTCTTTAAACGATCTCGAGTATTGTTTTATCCAAATATCTTTTTATTTGCAAATGGCACGCAATATTTCTCAACGTGTCATTTCTCGCCTAGGACGTCACGAATCCAATATGACGACTATTCCGGAGCCTTAACAATTGAATCTGAGCACTCTCGTGTCTCTACTCACTTTACGCGTTTTATTATGTTTATATTATGCGGATGATTATATTTATAATAATTATCAGATAATAACGATGTTATATATTTTGTGTCTGACTCTCACCGTTTTGTGCCAAACTACTGGGAAGTTGGTGCGCGAACAGAAATTCTGTGTAACCGCTATAGTTTCGTCAAGATTTAAAACGATATGCCACCAACCACCGGGGATGAAAACGGTTTCGCCAGGAGCCTGCAGAATCTCTATTGGTCGGCAATCTTGCGGCCACGTAGGCAACTTTGTTCGAGGATAGACAACAGAGAACCAGGTGATGGCTTCATCTCGCTGTTTGCCACCTTCTGCCGCGGTTACTTTGAGGAGCTCGCGAGGTGTATGCGTCGGGAATAGGCACCAACGCTTATGACCGGAAATTAACGCATTCCATGCGCTGGTACCCAATGGATCTATATGTATTCCCGTACCTGTGAATATGACGAATGCCATTATTTTATACATTTCACATAGATATATTATTCTATAACAAATTTTTAAAACCTTGGTTGCCTTGATGATCACATGCCGTGGCAGTTTATTGATCTCTTTAAAGCTCCTAGATACTCACTTTGGCTGTCCTTTAATGACGTCAGAAGTGAGGAAAATCGTGTCAATTTATGTGACTGTATATGCAGTGTTTGCCAGTATCTAGATAAAATTATCTAAATAATCATCTAGGTGAAAGAAATATAAAATATATTCATGTTCGTCCTAAAAAAACACGTTATTTCGTCTAAAAATTATCTGAAATAATGTTATGGTCCATATTCTGAACTCACTTTTCGTTAAAATGAATGAAATATTACGGGCCTATGCGTTAAGCCCATTATCAGACTAGGGATTGAAAATTAGATTTCAATGAATCAACAAATTTCGGTTTTGTTTCCTTTGATCTGTTCTTTTTAGCTGCACTGCTCAACTGGTGCAATTAAAAAGAATAGACCATTTATTTCAATTGATCAATCCATTTTAAGCCCGTATCCGACTGTCGACTGTGAAGACTGACCCGACTGCCGATTACGACTGCCAACTCTTAATGTACCAATTACAACAGACTAGTTACATGACGCTTCACTATGATGGACCCTTCAAGAGTCAACAATCATAACCGCCAGTCAAATCGGCTTTCATAATCAGTAGCCTGATATGAACTTTATAGAAAGAGACTGAAATAATGACTACGTACAGAAAACAGCAATTAGTGAACAGTCAATGATTATTGGTTAGATCCTTAAATTTAGAGCGATCACGTTGACGAATTACTTAATCGTTATGCAATTTTATGATCTACGTAATTTTTATTATAAATTTTCATAAAGCCTCTCGTGAAAACAAGATCATTTAAAAAATTATCTAGATAAATAGCGCAACTTATCTTTCACCTAGATAATTCAAAAGCAAAATCACCTTCATAACATCTAAGATGAATTTTTCGGACTTTCATCTCATCTTCATCTAGATGAATTTGAAATCATCTAGGCAATCACTGGATATACGTGAAAATAAAAAAATATATACACAAAATAACACTCGTGATAGATTCAGCACATTTGTAAAAATATCCGGACGGATTTGTAACAATATATTCCTTTAACCTGAACTAATAATAAATAATCGTAAATTAGTGTAACATGCAATTTACGTTTTTAACCTATTTTTCCTCATGATTTCTATTACGTTAATTTTACGACTATTTATTAATTGTTCAAGTTAACCCTTTGAGTATTGAATTATTTTAAGATTTTTATGCCCATGGGACGGATTTAATTTGTCGCTATATGGATTAATATGTAAAAGTAATACATTTTATGCCCAAGTAAGTAGATGACGAGTCTCACTCGTCAAATGTACCGAAAGGGTTAAAGGAAAGCATCCGAACATTTTTACAAGTGTGCTGAATCGATCACGAGTATTATTTTGTGCATATATTTTTTTATTTCCACATATACCGTCACATAAATTGACATGATTTTCCTCACTTTTTAAGTCACTAAAGGACAGTCCAAGTGAATATCCAAGAGCCTGGAAACATCCTAATTTCATGATTTCTTATTGTATTATCTAATGATTCATAAAGATGTTTTATAGCTATCTTCGATATATCTAATATTCATTATAAATAATTGTTCATTAAAGAGTATATTTACCTGACCTAGCAGGGCCCATAACAAACCATCGATATGGCGGTCTTCGGTGTTCCCCAGCATAATGAAAAAGATCATCCCGAAAGTATTTGGGGATTACATAATCATCCAGTAATTTTTTTCGTCTTGGATGCTCACCGAACGAACTGTCAAAAATGTACAAGGGAGAATCATCATCATTATGAAGCATATAACGTACATAGTACTTCATCTTCATTTTTACACTGTATCCTTCATTGTCTTCCCCGCATTTAAACTTTTGATTCCGATATTTCTTGGCTAATTTCTAGAATAAAAAGAGACGAGCATAAAATTTAATTGTCAAAAATAACACCAATCCTTATATATGTGTCAAAATTAGGATTGAGAAATATTACTTATAGCATTGTTACCATTACTTTTTTCAATAACAATTTGGTAATGCTGTTTCTTTTTTATTAATAATGATAACAACAATAAATATAGTGATTCAATACTTTGCATTTATTAGGCATATATTATATAGGCATAGTTTATTAAACACATATTCAAATATCAAAGTTTTCTAGCTACAAAATGATATTATTAAATCCTATATATAAAAAAAGTTTCAAAGTATTTGTAATATTAAACAGACTAATTTAAATGTACATGACTATAAAATGCATAGACTATATGACTAGAATACATGCATATATATGACTATAGAATACATGCATATGGAATAAACAGCAGTGAATAAACAAGTCTTCACAATTTGCTGAAGAAAATAATAGAAATTATAATAACTCATTGCTGTTTATGTAACGATAATAAGTAATAAATTATTTTCCAAAATAAGTAATGGTAATGAGCTACTTTTCAAAAGTAATTTTCCCAACCCTGATTAAAATCATGATGCTGAAAATGACCTCTATAGTCCACTTGTATTGGGCTTTCCAGCCATTTTGAACACCTCGTATTATCACAGGCTTGTAGGGTTTCTCATATTTTTCTACAAAATCCTCTATAACCATGTTAGATTCATCGATTCGTTCAGCATTGTCTTGAAAATTCCAGAAAGATTGAAAATTCTTATTGTAACCATGCTGACTCCATGCTACCTTATCTGCCAGCTCTAAAAGTACATATGATACATTATCAACTTTAGATAAGGTTCGTGAACATTGTTTAAATTAGCTGAAGAAGGTTTTGAATACCATAAGTAATATTTAATAATATTGATTATGCATAACATACATATATATTTGTATATGTGTTATGTATATATAAATATATATATATATATATATATATATATATTCCTGTTGGAAGATTATATTCGAGGCACATACGTCGAATAAAATTAGCGAACGGCTAGAAACGGTGAATGAATTAAGATTATCGTAAAATCGAATTACATCATCGTCGTCCAAGATCGAGAGGTGGATACACGATAGCTTCTTCTCGCTCTTCCTCGAAACGATCATACGGAGTCCGGTGAATGACACGATTCTTACGATATGCTAAGTACGAGCTTGTCTTGGCTGCGTATAATGGATAAATGAAACTCTACGGAGGCCGAAGGAAGGCGATATCGATGTGTGACCTTGCGTCGCTTTACAACATAGGTTATTATAATACAAATTCCATTTTGTCTACCTGGTCGAGCCTTCTTTTTCACCTCCTTGATCCGCTTCCTCGCACGATGATCCAGTTTTAATTCTTCCGTCATGATTAAAGCGTCGTATTGTTTTACTTAATCTACTCCTGGAATATATATTTACAGCTTACGACAAGCACACTTGCGTTAGACATCACTCAATAATAATGAATGGTGAGGAACTGCGATTACTGGAGAACACGTTATTTATATTCCTTCGGATCATCGAGACAAGATGTCACTGGAGAGCTGCAACTTTGACGAAATTTTTGCGCACGCGGATCGCATCAACGCTCTCTCGGTTTAATCCCCGTTTACAATGGGTGCATTCACGGAACGCAGTTCCGCATTCGTTGAGCGAGCGCTTAATAAGCGATAAAGATATATGCTGAACGCCTCGATTCTATTACCACTGATTAGGAATGGGCAAAATCATCGATGTCTGAAAAACATCGATGTTCGCTCATTGAAGATGAAATTTTTATCTAGAGGAAATGTTAGGGACTCTAGAAATCTTCTATCTGACAGCCAATCGGGACATTCGACAAATTTGTACGACCAGGCATCTAAGAATCTATAGATGAAGTATAAAGTGAACTTATGGGCAACTTATGAATTGGCTAATATGCGGTAAAGAAAGTGAGAGTGCTCTCCTTTTCATTCGCTGATTATCTCTTTCTACAATAAGACACCGTCGGCTTTTCAACGAATGTAATCGAAGATATTCGAAGTTTACATAGTATATGGATGCGTTCCATTTAACGCTCACAACGAGCGTTAACCCGTCAGTTCCCAAATGAACTGAAACCACAAATTTCTGTTTCCTCTTAGGAAATCTCATGTTTTGGAACCTAAGGAAACCAAATTTATAGGTTTCGAGTGTTTCAGAAAAGTGGCAATAATAAAGTTTGGAAGGATATTTTTCGCTTATGTATCGCTTTTATTCAGTGTTGACAACTTGTTTTAGAGTCACTAGTATCTAAACTGAACACTTAGAGCTATGTTATAGGTTAGCAGTGTTATTTCGATGGTTTATAAGTCAAAAACATTGTGCCACCTGGAGGATGCATTGAGAACTGACAGGTTAACTCCTTAGTATCGCTTTTATTCAGCGTTGACAACTTGTTTTAGAGTCACTAGTATCTAAACTGAACACATAGAGCTATGTTATAGGTTAGCAGTGTTATTTCGATGCTTTATAAGTCAAAAATATTGTGTTACCTGGAGGGTGCATTTTGAGAACTGATGGGTTAAGTAGAATTATAGTATAGCATAACAATTTCTCAAAAACGCTAAAACAAATCGCATTTTGAGTTTTCGACCATCAAACGTCGTTTCATTGAATTTAGAAATTTTATAATTTTTAGATTTTTGACAATTTCTTAATGGAAAAATATTAAAATAGATTTTCTGCAGGACTGAAGAGAGTTCTTTCTCTATGAGCTATCATAATTATATTAAAACACCTCTCTAATTATAAAATAAATATATTATATTAAATATACGTCTACATTTCATAAAATTAATGATTAAAAACAATTCATATTCGATACTTTAATTCAGAGGTTAGAGAATATAAAACGTATTTACACTTTCGGGAATTATCGGGTATGCGGTGAAAACACCCGATAATATTGTAGAAAGAAACAGCACTACATCCCCCTTGCCGCGGAGTTACAGCTGGATTTATAATTAAAATTGGTATCAGCAATACATTGGTCAACCAGGCGGTTTTCTGCGAAAATTCGTAGAGTTTTAAACTACAGATTATCGCAATCTCTGTTAAAAGTAAAAATATTCCTACTAATGTAGAAAAGATCCGCGCTATTTGAGTGTAGAAATATAGACGTTTGCGCGGCGACTCGTCCACATTGTGCAAATAATAAGCTCTTATGTGGAGTAGAATGTGGAGTAAAATACACTTGGATATCATTATCGCCATCATGTGCGTGACAACCAATACCATCGTGCATACAACGAAGATGATCAACATTCCTTCTGGAATTTTCTGGAATTGAAATTCAGTTTAACTTCCATTATGGCAATCTGTCGACAGATATGATTGTCTTTAATACCGAATGTTACTATTAATTGATATTCATTAGTTAGCTCTTAATATTGTACAGGATACAAACGTCACTGTTAACAATATTTGACCCAAACAATAAAAATAATATTTCTACGCTATGATTTTAATATTTAGGAATATTATATTATCAAGTAATAATTTGAAAACATTTATAAAATGTGTTATGTCAAAATGTTTATAAAATCCACGTAAAATCAGTGTTTCGAAAGATTGATTTAATGTTTCACACTTACTAAAAATGATCGCATCCATTAGACTATATAAGTCCATTAAACTATATAAGAATTGATACTTAATTTTTTCCGTGCATGTGTACTTCATGTTATTCTACGTCGATGATCATCGCGGAAAACACGTGTTTGCGCGCGCACATCAATTTACGAGTAATTTTGAATGCGAGGAAATTGTGCGATCGAACTTATCGTTGCTGAACATTTTAACCAAGAATTCATTACGTAAAAAGTAATTTAGTTTCAGCCGAAATCTTCAATCCAATTTTATTTCGATGTGGAACAAATATAAAACAGGGTCTTCGATTAAAAGGTTTCATTTTAAGTTTTGCGGCATTTTGTACCTATTATAAATGGAGTTGTCATATTTGACAGTTGTCGAGTAAAAACTGTGCGGTTAATAACAATGGATCGATATTCGCTTTAACAACACACAGAAATAGTGAAGACTCACTACAAACACGATAAAAATTTTGCAGAGATAGTTCGCAAAATCCGTACCAGATTCACCCGCAGAAAAGCACCGTCTCGTCCAGCAATTGTGAATTTAATCAATAAATTTGAACGTCTCGGCCAGGTTAGCGATGTTAAGAATTCAACCTGTGCTCGGCCAGTCAAATCAATCAAAAACGTTACTGCTGTGGCTGAAAATGTCGCGAAAATCCTGGTTTGTCTATTGCGAGACGTTCGCCACCAATTGGGCATTTCACAAACCAGCTTGCACCGCATTTTGCACAAAGATCTTGGCCTACATGCTTACAAAATCCAACTGATACAAGAATTGAAGCCGACAGACCATGGACAACGCCATACGTTCGTTGATTGGGTATTGGAAATTATATATTGGAAATGCAAGCGGTTGACTCTGATTTTTTTCAAGAAAATCATTTTGAGCGACAAGGCACATTTCCATCTTCAAGGCTACATCAATAGGCAAAACTGCCGCATCTGGAGCACTGAAAACCCAAGAGCGATTGACGAGCAACCTCTCCATCCACAACAAGTAACAGCTTGATAGCATTATTTTCACGGAATCAACATACTTGGATTTACATTGCATCTGATGTGTGTGTGCACACGTTTATCTTTTTTCAGAGATACCGCGTTGCAACCGTGTATTGTTAGTTACACGAGGCGCATTGCAGTACGTGTCGAGTGCACTCGAGGTCCACTATTTCATTGTCGAATGTCAAAGCATTGCGGGACTTTTTCTACGCGTGTACACGATTCGGTTCTTATAACACGAGTATGCTTGAACAGTGCCGCCAGAAACGCGATGTGGTCGGTATACTCAACGACGCGCCCTCCCCGTGCCCTCCGGAGACGAGAATGCGCAAACAAACCGTCGCGTATCGAAATCGTTTTAGAGCGAGGATTATTAATCTCTTGTTCTGCGCAAATTTGGCACTCGACGTGCCGTTCGGATCGGCGAAAACCCAACGAATTATTACGTAGCAACATGTGTTTGACGTATGCTCCCAAGCTGAACGTCGCGGTTTATATATTCGAGGACGTGCAGACATTAATACAGATTAAGAAGTAAAATTTGAAACGCCTGCCGCGCGTGGGACAATGAAGGATTTCAGTTCTTTAATCAACGCTGTTGCATTTTGCGCTTTCGCAACGCGAAATCCAACGGGTTACATTGAAAATGTACGATAATGATGTCGTGCACAATACGAATAAACCCTTCCCCCGGAGCTTTCAGCGGAAACGTGAGCGAGCGAGAAAGCGGCGCTGAGTGAAAAGTGTCAGGCACGGAAAGGAGGTGACGGTATGAGCGAACGGGCTCGCCTGAGCTTTCCAACTTCTTCTGAAGTGTAACTTATTTGATTACGGATAACCGATCAATTGATCTTGACGTCGTTTTCCTCCGGTGAAGGTAATTAGCAATTACGATGAGGCGGTTGACAGTCGCCGTCGTAACTTTTTCATTACTCGCCGCTCGTCGAAAATTCACAATTCTGACACTGAGAGATGAAGAGGAAGAAAGAAAAAAAAGATCTCTTCTGGCAATAGGTTAAATCGTAATCTTGTCTGCACAATAAAAAATTTTGTGTTAACTCTAATGGTAAGGTTAGAGTTAAATGCGACAATCCCATGGCTCATTTATTTCACAACATGCATACACCGTTTCACTAAAACCTATTGGTTAGACCTATCTTTCACTCGTTCTCTAGCTGTTTTAGGCCCAGTTTTTCATTTTCTAATTAAGCTTAACCTAATGATAATGTAAAAATTATATTTTTCTATTCATAGTTAATCATTAAAATTTAAAAGTTACCACTACAAAACCATCAGTTTAACGATTAACCATAAGTAGAAAAATACAATTTTTGCATTATCATCAATTTTAAGTTTAAACCACAAGTCAACCAGAAAATGAAAAAACAGGCTTTAACTTCGAAGTTGTTCAGATAAGTGACATGTCCCTCCAATTCTTATTTACGTCAGAGCTCCTCCGTATTGTGGTTGGATCCGACTCCACCTAGCTATTAACGTTACAGATTTTTTTACTACTTTAGTTTCACTTTATATTCTTTTTCCATTTATAGAACGAAAAACACGATTTATTATTCCTGAAAAGATATTGCAAGAAATATGTTCCAAAATGTTTTGAAATGTTTCATACTTTAAAGAACTACTAAATTATTATTTTATAATGTTACTTAATTATTGTCCATTAACATTATATATCAACCTGATTAAATGTTATATAGCAATGCAAATTTCAAAATAAAAAGTTCTGTTTCTAAGCTTGCACATAACTGTTCATTGAGCAAAATTAAATAGTATTTTTCGGACGCATCAAATTCCGTTTTATTTGTATGTCAAGGGGTTAACACAAGATGAATATGTTGAAAAACAATACAAAAATATTATGTTAAAAATTAACACAAAATTAATACGTTAATCGACACACTAAAGTATAAAATATGTTATTTTAATATTTATACATGTTAAACATCGTCTCAACATAAAATATATTATTATAGATAACATAAATAAGTTATGTTAAATTAACACACGAGAATGTCCCAAGTTTAACACAAAAATTTTAACCGGAGACCGATTGTAACACAAATGCAAGGTGTTTTTTACTATGTGAGACCGACGTCGCGAAATTATCGCATTTGTACATGAAAGCGCCTCATGTATACTAATCAATCATCAATTGTCTATCTTCTCATCGCATTCTCATCAAAGAGGGAACAGGTAGGTTGCACCCGAGACTTCTTCACTGACCTCTGCCGCCCCCAATAAACGAACCCCCACCCCGAACCTCAAAGCGCGCGAGCGAGCAAACGAAACAAATTTCGCGCAATATCGTCTTATCACGGACGCGGACTTAATGCTAATTACGTATTACGTGTTTTCAGGTTCATCGACTGCCCCCCTCCCCCTCCCCCTTACCCCCATTAATCAGTTTTATTAATGTCAGTCCTAGTTTTCAGTCCGCGCGTATAGCGCCCCGTGTGTGTCGCTGTGCCGTCTTCTCTCTCTCCCTCCTTCTCTTTCGCTCGCTTGCTCGCTCACTCGGGGATTTCTCTCCTCGCGTGCCCGAGGCGGCGGGCGCGAATCGACGAGAGAGCGGCTAGTAGAAAGAGTCAGTGCTGCGCGGGCTTCCGTGGCGCGAGGACGTGACGGATGTGATGTCATCGTCGTGGCGCGGGACATTCAGTGGTGCGTGCGTGCGTGCGTGCCTACCTGCCCGCCCGCGTGCCGTCGTTGCGCGTCCGCACGCGCCGACTGTAGACTTTTCGGAGAGTTCTCTCTTAGCTTCGCGATTTTCTTTTCAATTTCTCCCGTTTTTCTTCCTCTTATTTCTGCCCTTCCGCTCCGTTTGCGCTGCCCCTTTCGACCACTTCGTCGTTATCGATCTTCGCTCCGAGTGCGTGCGTGCATGCGTGTCCGCCTTCGCGAAAAACTTGGGAAAACTTTCGCACGGTGTGCGCGCGGCAGACCCGTCGTGCTCGCCGCGTCTGCCACTTTCTTTCCGTCCCGTTTTTCTCCAATACCCTCTAGTTCTGCCCGACGCGCCGGACGGATCCGCAGGACAACGGCGCCCCGCGATTATGCGCCCGGTAAGTCGCGATACACGATAGCGATGGATTATTAATGAGAGGTGGCGCAAAAATAGCGGTCTGGGAGTATCTTACTAACGCGCCTTTATACTCCTCAAAGACAACGTGTCCCGCATGCTCGCGACTTTCTTTCAATAAAAGTGCACGGCGATTCATCGCCGTGAGAAAAGAAATTCAAAATACATGCCCCTTGTCCCCGCCGCGCTCTATTCTCCGTAATGTGATTATTATAAATGTATGATAGATAAGTAAAAATGGACTTGTCTACTTTCTTCTTTTGAATTTTTTAATTCTTTTTAGTTAAAGAAGAAACCCGTTGCTCTCAAAAGGGCACAGAAATGTGTGCTTTTAATTAGAAAAATTTATCGGGAAAATATCGAAAGCGACGGGAAAGTTCGGGGATCTTGATATAATACGGTAAAAAGACATTTTTTTAACTTATTGTTAAAATCGGTTCTTGTTGAAATTTTTATGTTTTACCTGTGTGTTAATTAAACAAATTTGTGTTTACGTTATCTCAATATATATCTTGTGTTGAGTTATCTTAACCCTTTGAACTCGAGGGCTCCGGAGCGGAGCCATTTAAAATTTGTCTTCAAACTCTTCCAACTCAAATGCAAATTGCAAGAGCGGAATATCCTATACACAATAGTTTTTACGATTTGTCTTTGTCCTTATGTTGTGAACTGAAAGTTATTTGCATTGTCTCCATAGCGGAGCCCTCGAGTTTGAAGACAAACTTTAAATGGCTCCGCTCCGGAGCCCTCGAGTGCAAAGGGTTAATATATATTTCGCATTGAGTCGATATTCAACATATATAAGTGTTTAAATAACACATTCTATACTTCAATGTCAAATAACATGTTATGGACATTATATCATTTTGTGTTAATATTTTCGATACGATATTTCTGTTATTTTTCAACATAATCACCTTGTGTTAAATTAACACAAAAATTTGTATGGACCATTTAGGATGGGTGAAATGTGTTAATCTTAACATAACATTTTTTATTGTGAGCGAGAAATTCTAAAGATCTGTATGATTTTTTGCTGCTTCATTTAAAATTGAAGAAGAAAGCTTGCTATTTTAAAGGAACGTGTTTTTAATTGGAAGAGGGAAGGTATCGAAAGGGACGAAAAATCGAGAATCCTTGTTGACACAGCGAGAAATTTAAGGGTTATAAGGATATCGGGAAATAATACAACAGCGCCTCCCACTCGAACCTTTTTTATTTCGATCGTTTTATAGTTATCGTTCGATGGTTTCCAAGGGGACGGGCTTAAAAGCAGAAGCAAAAAACTCTCTCGGTATCTTTGGATATCGTCGTGAATCACAAGTTTCAGTGGACTTTGTTCACGTGTATAGCGGGAATCATATAAATTAATATTTCAAAGTGGAACGCGAGAAGGAAGACTTACCGATGCCGCGCACGTAACGCGAACACGCGTCATATAGCGCGGCACAACGAGGTTTTCCCATCGTCTCTAAACAACGTGCAAGCGCCGAAAAGAAGACTCATGTGACGAGTATTAAAAAGGACATCGTTCAACGGATGTTCGTTTTATCACGATTGATTCGTTAATACGCGTCGCGCGATTCTCGACGTACGCACATCCACCACCGAGGATAAATCACGAAGCACAAAACATAGTGGTACCTTTCTTACTTTGAGTGAAATTTTCCGCCCTATTTGTTCAGTTCTTTTTCCCGCATGCATTAAATATTCATTGCGCGATCCCGTGTGTATCCGTTTTTACATAATCGCACGAAAACATTTACGGTCATAGCTGAAACGTGCAAGATCGGCGACGAGCGAAACGCACAAATGCCGGCCGCAATTTGCGTTAAAATATCCCCTGGCGGATCGTCAAAATGAATAGAAACAGAGCTCATTCGCGGTAAACAAATAATGCACGCTGCCGTTATACGGTGTTACAAAATCGCGCACCGAATGTCAAATTGCACGTCGGAATAATGCGTATCGCTACGGCGATGAAAACACCGTCGGATATTTCTCTCGTTTTCGCAAAACGCGCTTTATCACTGTATCTGCGAGAGGCACAATAAACTTTCTCGATGTGGAGGCTCACAGCCGTCGCCACGATGCGTCGACACATGTAGTCAGTGGCATAAAAGAGACGACAATTTTATCTCGATGAGTTTCGCAACACATTCGTATCCAATAAGAGAATTTGTTTTTCAATCATTTTCAGGAAATCAATTTTCCTGCACGGTGAAAATTTTGGTGTTAAATTTAACACATTTCAAACGGCTCACACAAACTTTTATGCTCATTTAATACAAGGTTAATATGCTGAAAAATAAAACAAATATATCCAAAATTAATACAAAATTAATATTCATTATATTTAATCGGCACTGTAATTTATGGTTAATCGACACTGAAATATAAAATGTGTTATTTTAACATTTACAAGTGTTATTTTAAAACTTACATATGTTAAATATCGATTCAATACAAAATATTAAGATAATATAAATACAGCATGTTAAAATGTTAACACGGGTATATTAAAAATTTAATAAAAAAATCTTAAGAAGAATCGATTTTTTAACACAAGCACAAATTGTTTCTATTGTATATAAGTACTTACTTATAGATTCTGAAAGAATAGAACTAAAGTAAGAAAAACTGGCCTATAAGAACGTTAGTTCCCAAACAGTACAGAACCTAGAACCGGGATATAAGACGTGTTAAAGTCGTCTATAAGTAAGACGTCTTTAACATGACTTTAAAACATCTTTAAGGCACTTATGTCCCGGTTTAGATTTTGTGTTGTCTGGGTTATTGTTATCGCAAAATAGTAAACAATTTCGTATCAAATGTTCTACTGAAACTTTATGTTATTTTAACATAATAATGTTAATAAGTACATAAATATGTGTTAAAAAGTACACAGATATAAATATAAATTAACACATTTATATGTTAACAAGGTGAGTGTGTTAATTTAACATTATACTTGTGTATCCCCCTAGTCAAAAAATCCCAGGCCATGAACAATAAAAAAACAAAGTATTCATTTAAAAAATATATTCAGTATGTTGCCCTTCAATATAATCTCTTCCGAACCCAACAATGTGGTGCCAACGTCTTTCCCATTCCTGGAAGCAGCGCCGTTAGGTTGATTCCGGTATAGCCAAATTCCGTTTTATGTCTTCAATGTCTTCGAATTGCTTTCTTCTCAGTGGTCTTTTGACTTTCGGGAACAGGAAAATGTCTGCTGGTGCCATATCAGGCGAATACGGCGGCTGCAAAACGATTATAGTGTTGTTTCGGGTGAGAAACTCGATGTAACCATGTGCGACAGTGCGTTATCGAGGTGAAACATCCACGAATTGTTTTGCCAATTTTGGTCGTTTCTTGCGGATTGCTCCGTTCTCAGTCGTTCGACAGTGGCTGGAGATGAAATCTTTTATTTTCGCGACGACGAATTGGCTGTGATCGAGGTCGATGAACGTTCAACTCGATCATCGTCGAACATCAACTCTCGACCGTCGACGAACCGTTTGTGCCACTCTTTTGTCCTGGATAATAATAATGCTCTCTCATCAAAAATCGTTTGCAACATCTTGAAGGTTTTCGCAGCAGTTTTTTCCATTCTTCTCGCAAAATTTAATGCAAATTCTTTACTCTTAGTTTTCGTTTATCGTAAAAATCGCCTAAGCAAGAAAACACAACTTCATAAAAGTAAATAAAATTATCGAATGCGTCAATGAAAATAGCTGAACTTTTTATGTCAGTTGAAATCTCACCAGTCAAAATTCTGTCGAAAAATTTACAAACATTGTTATGGTTCGTTCATATTAAATCATGGCATGGAACTTTTTGACTACGGAAGTACTTGTTATCACATTCCCCGTGTTAAAATAACACAAAATTTCAGTGGATCGTAAGACAAAATTTTTTACTGGAAACAATTTAACAACTTGATAAAATTGTTCGACACAATATGACGTACATCATATCAAACATTTGTCCCAACCTTTAGCGTACGCAGAGCACTGTTATTATACCCAGTAAAAATTGTTGTGTTAAAAACGGTCCACTGAAATTTTTGTGTTACTTTATGATAGAGAATATGTTAAAAAGTACAAATATATGTTAATCTCTGAATGATAAGGTTGAAATCGAATCCGACCGTATCTGTTGTGTTCATTTTTCATGTAATTAATATACAAAATGGGAAAAAGAAGTAAATAATGACATAAAATTTCATCCTCTGTTTATTTATAGGCGAAAAAATACAATACAGTTTATTAACTGACTTTAAATAATTGCAGTGAAACACTTCGAAAGACGCTTTAACGTTCTAAAAGTCCATCTTGCCATTAGAGGGTTAAATTAACATATTCACCTTCTTAACATATTTCTTTTTAACATATTCATCTTGTTAACGCAAAAACTTCAGTGGATCGTTTCTGACAGAATTTCTTTTACCATGCTCAATAAGTTTGGACGCCGGAAGCGTTTTGAGGTACATCGAGGTAAAAGTGTTCGCGACCTTTCTTCCGTTGACTGTACGAGTATTTCTCGACCGGTTTATTTTGTCGATAGATTTACGTATTTCTCTTCCCTGCCTTACGAAATGAGTTACATACGTCGTGGATCGGGAGACGAGAGATGGGGCGCGTACGGAGATTTACGGCGAAAATTCGCGCCCGGTTAATGTGCGGGGTCACACCCCGTACGTCGACCCATGTGTAGCCCGGACTTCGCCCCTTCTTCGCCTCCTCTACCCTGCTTCTTCCTCCCTTCGTACACAAGTCGCCCCGCTTCGTAGGGGCCGCGCACGACGCGGGCTATCGCTTCATCTTTTCCTAATGCACTTACACTTGACGATTCGCGCCACGTGTGCGAACATTTTTATGCCCGTCGAGTGCCTGAAGGTGTACATCTTTGATGAACCGGTTTCATAAGTGCCGTGTACCATTACGATGCGGTTCAATAATTCATCCGGTCCGTCCGGATCAA